GCTAACCTGCGGTGAGAGTACGGTGGGGTCCAGCACCATTGGCGACAATATACTTGGCGCAAATAACGAGGGCGATAGTGTTATCGGACTCAGCACCGATGGCGAAAGAATACTTGGCGAGAATATATATGGAGACAGAGTGATTGGTCCAAGCACCACCAACTGTAAATTGGCAATTAGCTAAGTAGAGATGGCGTATTGAGGGTAAAAAAGTTGTAAGCATTATCATTGTCAATTATTTGTATACTTAAAAGATGTTCCAAAATGAGGAAGACTAGTTGCTTCAAAAAGGCATGAGAGGCTTAAAAATACTCCTTTCATTATGTCGACTCAAAGTATTTGCAATATCTCCTCAAATAATACAAAATCCTGGAAACTCCCAATTTTGCAGAAGATAATTCTTGATTTAGATGCTAAGCTGCATAACGCGGTATTCAGTGTTGTTACAGAAGCAAAAGAAAACACAATCCACCCCTTCAGATCTCTGCACTTACCGTTAGAATGGATGGTGCAAACATGAATGGTGCTAATGTTGTATGTTGTAGCACTTGTACGTCCCGCTTGTGACGACGATGAATTGCTTTTGAGTCGCTGGCTATCAAGCGGATTGTATTTCGCAAAGACTCTTCTCGTTCTTTAGTATTCATTTTGGCGTACTCAACAATGTCGAATGGTAGATCTGCTAGCGTGACATTGTACAGACCTGAATGCATTGAAACTGCTGATGACCAAACATTCATGCAGTGTGTGTTCTGCCACTACTTGGGGGCACGTTACAGAATATCGCAGTTGTAGATTTTTTTGTTTTGTTTTTTGACTTTGCTACGGAAGTAAAACCGCTCCTTGATCGATCTCTAGAGTGCTGATTATTCAGTTACCAAGGAAGAGAGTTACCCTGAATTATCTTAATTTTTCGTTATGTATACTTTCCCGATGTCAAATAAGAACGTCAAGTGCATATCATAAAGCCTGGTTCATTCTTCACTTCTCAAAATGACCTAAACTTCTGCGAGATTTCTATTTCTCAGTCAGAAATGTCCAGCACGTTTGAAGCCGGGTCAAGCTGGGCATTTTTTTTTTAGTATAAGAGCAAGGTATCTTGTCTAGGGGTATCAGCGACGAAGTCGCAATAAAATAGCAGAAAAAACATCAGAATCTGTCCTTACGGTAGATTTCGTCCATCCAAACAACGACTTCGTACTCCTTATACGTATTTAGAACAAAGAACATTTCATTAGTGGCGCACCTTGCTCCGAGCGCAATGCCCGCGCGCATTTTTCATGGTACGGATGTTCATTATGCTTTTATTCATCTCTCAGCTTTCTCTGTTATTTCAACTTTTGATTTTAAAAGGTGGTTTTAGCAGAGGTGATGGTAACTGGCGGACGGTTTTTCGGCTTCTTTACTAGGGGCAAAAGTTCAAATACAAAAGAAAAGTATGTGGGGGAGATTTAGAATGGTCATAAGGGACTTTGCAATTACAAAATTGACAAGGGCGCACTTCAGAATTTTTTGCTCACTGCCGAGCACTGATTTATTGGCAATGTCCTAAGTGTTAGGCAGCTTGGTTTTGATTGTAGTCGTGCACGCATATTCATCGTTTCAACAAAGAACTTCTAAATCTCTAGCAGTATAACGAATATTGTTCACAAAGTATAAAACCTACCCTCTTTTGCAAAGATGCTCTCCAACTGTTCTTTTTCAAGGAAAGCAAAATGACGTTCACTCAAATGCCGTTTTTGTTCGGGCTGAAGGCTTTTTTCAAGCCTTTTGAAAGCAGTATCAATAGCCATTGTGATATTGTTTATGCCTTTATCCAGCCTCAATGCCTTTATAGCGTCAATTCGATCCAGAGCTTTCTCGATGATGTCGTTTGCACCTACAAATGAGGATTTTCGAGCAGTTTGTATTCCTTTTGAGTTACTTTTTAGAGACAGCCACTTATCTGTGACTTCCAGCAACAGTTCTAGAACAGCGTTGCTGTCACTGCGATCTAGACCAGCAAACTTCAAAATCTTAGGTAAAGGCAAAATGCTCTCCTCGGTGTTGTGCTCGTAGAGTGGGAATAGATCCGGTGACAGCAGTTTCCTGAATGCGATAGTTGATGAAAATTTGCGAAGTGTGAGAAAACAAATATTTAAAATCTATTACATTCAAAGAGTAATTATTGTCGCAGAAATGCGCTTTTAGCCTTTTTTACGAAAGTAGACTAAAATCTTACAGATAAGTCCGATTTTTTGTCAAGGAAA